CTATAAATAAATAATAGATTTATAAAAAAAATACTATAATAAATAAAGTAATTTTACTCTTATTTATCTTAAATTATTTTATTTAATTATTTTTAATTAGTTAAAAAAGATTAATATATTATTTGATAATTTGTTTGATATAATTTTAATAGATTATTTAATTTATTATTTTATAAATTTCTTTATAAGAATATATAATTTCTATTTTTAAATCTTTTTTTTATAAATAAAAAAGTTTTATTAATAAACTCATAATTTAATATATCTAAAAGCATTTTTTTAAATAAAAAAATATAAGTTAATTTCTTATATTAAAATGAATTATTTATATTATAAAGAGAAATTTATCATTTCATAATTATTGGATTCATTATTATTTAGCATATTTTTAATAAAATTATTAAAAAATTTTATTATTAAATATTACTTAAAATATATTCTATATCACAGTATTTAATTATAATTTATAAAAAAAAAGTGAAAAAAGAGATGTAAGAATAAATAAATTAATAATGAATTGATTTATATAAAAATTTAAAAATTATATATATAATTTATTAATTGCATATCAAGAAAATTATATATGAAATATATATTATACATATTTAAAATTATATTTAATAAACTTTACTATACATAAATCTTAAAATTATGTATATATATTTATTTTAAACAAAGTGCATAAACTATAAATTTTCTAAATATACCTTACTTTTAATATATAGATATTTAACTTTTTAAAATTAAAAATCCAAAGTATATTATTAAAAAATTATAATATAATTAATTATATCAAAATTTTTATTTTATAAATTATTAAAAAGAATTTATATAATATAATTATTAAATTAATAACTTATATTTAAAAATATTTATATTATAATTATATAAAAAGACTGCTAATCAAATCAGATTCTGTTTTTTAACAAAATTTTGATTTTAGATGATTAAATTGCAATAAGATAATCAAAAATTTTAAAATCCGCTTTTTTTTAGCAATATTTCTATGTATAAGTAAAGTAAAAAAGAAATTATAAAAAAATTTCATTAAGTTTTAATTAATTGAATACTTTTGAGATCTTTATCTAATCACAATGTATCAAAAAAGTTAAAAAAAAATAATAATAATAGATTTATGTATCACAAATAAAAAAAATTCAGGGATGCATTTATTGTAAAGCCATTACATATCCATTTCTGGATGAGGATTATGCGATCACCGTCCACACATAATACTTATTTGAAAACAATCCTTACTTTTTTAAACAATACAATTTTAACTTCATATTTGGTAACGCAGAAAAAAAACAAATTTGATAACAATGGTTTGAAAAAAAAGATTAAGTTTTGATGTGTTGATTTAGAAAATTTAAATGCGTATCAATGGAATAATACTAGAAAATGTTAATATCGTTTAAAATTTTTATAAATTGAATCGAAAAGTTCTAAAAGAAAAATAAAAAAAAAAACTCCTCTTTCCAAAAAATCTTAATTCTTGAAGAAAATACAATCTCCACTTTGCTTTATTATTAAAAACATAATAAACCTTTGAACAAAAAGATGCTTTCATTAGAAATAATAAATAAAATTCTCTATCTTGTGCTTTCAAAGACAAACATTTACTATGCCTTATTCGTAACGTTTATTTATTTTGTAATAAAACCATATATTTCATATTTTAAAAACCGTAAAGAATTAGCACCGGGACCATTGCCATTACCACTTATTGGGTATTGGAATATATATTTGTTCGGAGATGTAGCACAAAATCAATATAACCTTTCAGAAAAATATGGAGACATTTGCGATATAGAATTTTTTGGACAACGTTGCGTTTTAATAAGTTCACCACATTTACTCAAAGAATTATTCAGTTCAAGTGTACATTCACAATTTCTTAATCGGTTGCCTTTAACTTCAGGATTTACCGAGTTAGGGATGGATAAGGAAGGATTATTATTTAATACCGATATACCAAAATGGAGGCATAATCGAAAATTTTTTCAACAATCTTTGTCTCCACCATCATTTATGGCATTAAGTACAAAATATACCGCAGAATGTTGTAATGAAGTAATTGATTATTGGAGTAACTTTGAAGAAAATCAAGTTGTTAGATTGGATGAATGGCTTAAAGCATTTACAAGTGACATGATGGGATTAGTTGCTGCTGGCAGCAAAGAATCTTCGATGGAAATTCAATTTATGAAATCAACCAACCAAATCATCAAAGAAACGAGTCTTGAAGAAGAAAAAGATCGTGGTGAACTTTATAGAAGATTAAGATGTGAATATAATGACGCATTAGCATTTTACACTTTTGTCCCGAAACTTCTTTGGAAACTTCCCTTTATAAGGAGCGTTGTTAAACGTCATAATTATATTTTAAATTATTTAACTGAATTCGAAATTCAATTTATTAAAGAACGTAAACAAAAAATTGAAAATGAAAAGGAAGCCAAGGTTAATAGTAATGATAATAGAGTTAGACCGGATTTTCTTACAATGTTAATCACAGAAAATGATGAGCCCTCTCCCGAAGATATTAAACAAAGTATTCGAGAAATGTTTGCTGCGGGAACTGGTACCACGAGTTCAACTTTTTGTTCAATCGTATACTTGTTGACGAAGCATCCCGAAGTTGAAAAACGAATGGTAGAAGAAATCTTGAGCGTAATTGGACCGGATAATCAAATTAGTTCATCAGATTTATCAAAATTACCCTATACTGAAGCGATAATAAACGAAACGATGCGAATCTATCCCGTAATTCCCATAACTCATCGTTATTCACCAGAAAAAGATGCTCAAATTGGAGGTTATCACTTCAAAAAGGGCACTATATTTGGTATCAATTTAGGTCATATTCATTTCAATCCAAAATATTTTGAAAATCCAAGGCAATTTAATCCTGAAAGATTTCTTGGTAATTGGAAAGAAAGATATCCTAAATTTGCTTTTTCTCCGTTTGGTCATGGTATGAGAAGTTGTCCCGGTAAAAATTTTGCTATGGTCGCAATCAAAGTCATTGTGGCTACTCTATATAGAAAATATACCTTTAAATTAGTTAAACCAAACGAACCACTTAATTTCAAATTCACTTTAGTTAACGAAATAGGCAAATTGGAGGTTTACGTTGAAAAGAGAAAGTTGGAGGGGATTTCTTAGAGGAAAATTTAAAATTTTGATAATTTTAATTTGTATATATCAGCATACATTCAATTAAATAAATTCATGTTATTTTTAATTTAAATTTTTTTTTTTAATTGATAAATTAAAAGATAATTAATTTATTAATTTATAAATTTACGATAAAACTCTTAAATAAATGAAATAATTGTTATATCGAGGACCTATTCCGATGTTAATTTAAGTAAACAAAAAATTAAAGATTCCGCAAGTTGGTAACACAAGATGCTACTACAAATGCTTTTGAGTGATCATTCTATACGATTTACTATACGTTTTATTTTCAGCAATTTCCTTAATAATGTGTCGTGATAAATTTTCATAATCTTTTCGATTTAATCTTAATTCATTTGACATTAACGGATACAAAAAGTTTAGAAATTCTGCTGCTGTTAATAATGTTTATAAAAATTAAAAATTTTAATTAGTTCAAGGTTAATCAAATAAATGAATCAAATAAGTATATTTACCCATTTCGAATGATTTATTGGATTTCTGAAGTTGAATTGGATACCAAGGATTTATCTTCTCTTTTATAATTGTAATTCCAAGGTTTTTATATATATTCATTATATCTTGTAATCGATCCAATTCAACTCCGTGATTCAAGCCAAATTTGTTTATACCTTTTTTCATAAACGAATTTGTAACCAAAATTAGAGAGCGCGATATAAAATATTTTTAAATGTGAAATGTGAAATAATCTTACATTTTCGGTGGAAGCTTTCTGTGCAAGGACCAGCATTATAGATATTTAAGTCGGTGTCCACAATCTTAAAATTACAAAACATTTAGTTAGTTTAATGACATCCACGTGTACAGGCTCATTGATTAAATTAAACCATACTTCTATCCAACCACCGTGCTTGCAAACTCTGACAATTTCTGGAATGATGATCGTTTTCCACTCAGCTTCAGTAAAATATTTCATCGTAAATCTCATATAAATAAAATCGAAGGTATTATTTTCATATGGAATGCCACCAAGAATATCGTGTTTAATGAACTTCACATTCTTTAAATTCTTTGCAAGATCACGTGGAAAGTAGGCATCACGATGATCTATTCCAACAAAGTTGCTATTTTGATATTTGGTACAAAGATCCAAGAGGAAAGTTCCAGTGCCACATCTATAAAGATTAAAAAAAAAAAATAATCATTTTCCTATTCGAATCTCAACACAAAAAAAAAAAAAAAAAGATAATAATCATACCTGAGATCAAGTATGAATGCTCCACTATGCAAAATTCGTTCTACTGGCGAGGAAAAGTAACTATTCCAAATAAATCGAAAATAGGCATCAATTTTACACATAAATTTGGCATCAAAAGGATAATCGGAATTTTCCTGATATTCCCGTCTTATACTTTGAATGAATGGCTTTTTACATTTTTTTATTACGTTTCGAAATTGTGATATTTCGAAAATTTCTTCAGGTTTTACAAAACGATTCCCCATTATTTAAAAAAGTAGGTAAATAAAAGGCATGAATTATTTTATAAATCTTTTTAAAAGAAAAAAGTCTCATATTTGTATAAAACAAGTTATTCGGATATAGCATATACGTCATACTGTGATATGTTACTAAAAATCTTTTCTTACATTATAAATATTTTTTTTTTTTAAGGAAAAACACAAATAAACCTTCTAATTTTCCATAAAAAATTGGATCTCTTGGTAAAGTTCAGAACTTTGTGAACAAACAAAATTTAATGGTTTTTTATTGGATATCATGATTTTTCGTACACAGAATAATTTTAAGGGAGACACAGTGATAAATATTTAAGTTTATTTGCGAAAGTTTATTTGGGAAAGTTCAAAATTCCCCTAATGATGTTATTCACGTTCTTGCGTCATATCTGGTTTAAACCATTAGAATGTAACATATCTAGACTTTTCTTAAGCAGAAATTCACGGGTTACTATCGCACGCGGTACGGGTCATAATAAAATCACGGCCCTTGTGAGTTTTCATCAACAAATAGCAATGACAAAGAATTGCTTGTTCCCCCTTTTTCAAAAATTTTAGTAATAACAACTAAGGAAAAAGAACCGGGCTTAAATCCATAACGATATACCGAATATTCTAACATTATGAACCAATCATCAGCGTCTCAGCCTCATTAAATCATCTAATAATAAAATTTTCAATTACCAAATTACCCCTGCCAAGGATCATATAATATATGATTACCAATCCATTAAGCTTAGTATTATATATTTATATATTAAGGTTGCGGGACAAAACCCAAATCTCATTTTGGCAAAAGTCAAAACCTTTCGATTTCGATGGGTTTCGACAGGTTTCGACGGGTTTCGATTTCGAAACCTTTGGGTATTGATGGAAGAACACTAGAAAAAGATTTTTTGAATGAATATTATATCTAAACATACTTTACTTTAAAAATCATATTAAACGTATAAAGTAAATTTATTTTTTCTTAGTATTTTCCTTTTATTAAAATTATTTAATATATATTTTTTAAAATTTAATTATAATAAAAAATTTTAAATATAAGATTTTAATAATTTTTTCAAAAATGTTTAAACCCGAAATTTTAACAATTATTTATTTTTTAATATTTTGATTATAAGAAACAGTATTTGATGCTTACCTTTTTTATAAATTTAATAATCTATAATTATTTATATAATATTAAGAAAATATAATAAATATAAATTTATATAAATATTATAATATAAAAAATTTTTAATAAATAATATCAAATTAACATGATTTAGATAAATAAATCCTATAAAATGTTCAATTTTCTTTTAATTAAACAATTTATTGATTTTTTTATTATGTGATTTTTAATATTAAAGGTTGTAAAATATTATACAATATTTTTTAAACTTTAACAACTATATAATTTTGAATTTTAACTTATATTTATAAAC